TAATTGGTTTTTTTTAAATTTTTGTTACAAATTATGATTATTATAAAGATTGAAATAATATTTGTAAAGTTAGAAAACAAATAATAGAATGATTACCTAAAAATATTTTTGTATGTATACACACATTAATAGATTCTATAATTCAAAATAATAACACATGTGGTTGAAAAATTTTAGATTTTTAAGCCTGATTATAACTTGCAGACTAATGAATCTTATCAAGGATTTTTGAATTTTGAAATTTTAATCAAATCAAAACTTGTAAAAAAGGATAATAATTTTATAGTAAAATCCTCCACTCCTCCCAGAATATATTCAATAGATTATCACCAAAAGATTAATACACACTCTTTTCTGTATTTGTATGTGTGTATATATTGATATATGAAATATATATTTTCCAATTTATAGTTTCTTATTAATTTTATAAATTACCTTAACTATTAACTTACAAAAGTTTGAAATAAAATTTTGATAATTGTCTATTAGAATTTGAAAAATTCTAAAATTCAAATTCTAATATTTCATTTCATACAACAATTAGATTGAAAGAGAGGTAAATATGTAACTCCTGGAACAAATACATTATTGTACTCGGTAATCGTAATTAATGTACCCCTATTTGGTTGCATTGGTTGCATTTGGCTGCTAAATATCTCTAGTCTTTCTAGACAGCATTAAATAGGGGTTCTTTAATTACAATTGCCTGTCAATACCACTGGCATAACCAGGGAGGGGTGAGGGGAATGGGGCTCACTCTTTGTAATGAAAAATGCTAAATGTAGAAAAAAACAATTTAATTGTGAAGTAAACTACTGACTTAGTAATTTATGTATATTTGTTATAATACATTGTTGCGTTAAAAGTGAAAATCTATTAAAATATGTAGTGATTCATATTAAGTTTTAATTTGGGCCCTCCTTTATTTCAGATCTAGTTATACTATTGGTTAATATAGTATTTATAATAGAATGCTTTTTGAATAGTTTGAAAAAAGCATTGCTTTAAACATAACTGATTTCATAATTATGATTACAAATTTTGTTTATTACTTTGTTGTATTCAACTACTCAAAACTGGATATACTTAGTAAACAAAGTGCATGAAACCAATCTCAACCAGCACAATTTTATAAAAAGCAAATATTTACAACCGTGTTAAATGAGTCTGATGATGCCCATTTAACACAGTCAAAAATGTTTGCTTTCTTATAAAATTATGCTGGTTGAGATTGGTTTCGTGTGCTTTGTTTATTACTTTTATTATTTGTAGTTTACTTTTATTCTAAAAACTTTTTAAAATAGTAATAAACTAAGTGAGTGATTAGTTAATTTCAAAGTTATATCATTGATATTAGATTTTAATACCAGTATCAATAATTTATATATAAACACCTTATTCTTGAATTTGCATTTTCCTAAAAGACACTAAAACAAAGAAGAAAATTTACGAAAGGTATTTACTGTATAGGCTGTATTTATATACTGAGCTAAAAAAGTAACAACAGTTAATACATATAAAAAAGAAACTGTTATAACAACATATTCATATTATATAATTTAAGTAATTGTTTTTATTTGTTAAAATTAATGTGTTAAAGAATTGGCAGAAATATTTTAAAATTTAAACTAAATAACTTAACAATTTTAAAAACTTACAAAAATTTTATAAAAAAAACACTGGTCATAAATTCAAAAATTAAAAGTTTGTTAAATTTATAGATTTTAAAACTTTTTGTAATTATAAAATCTAGTGAGGCAGCTATGTCATTTTTCTAGAAGCCTACAAAGAAAGATAGAAGAGTGTGCTTCATTTGTGTCAAGTGGTTGTCAATTATGTAACTCTGTTTATTCAGTTTGTTACTTTTTAAGTAAATAAATTTAAATTTAAATGAAACAAGCAAATATTTATTGTCATATCATTACAATGCCAGGCTGCAATTTTTAATCATATTTTTAATTTATTTAATTTAAAATATATGCTTTCTACCTGAAATTAGTATTGTCTTGTCCCTGTAAATCATACTTTTCCTGTTAGCAAGGAAGTCATGTTGGTCATTTATCTAATTCCTTTCAGGAAAAAGTTTGAATAGACATAATGTGACTTCTGATTCATATCAGAAGTTCCTGTATAGTTAATCAGGGCCTTATTGCCCCTAAGCTTTCCACATCTAGTTTGACTTTCATCTATCCCATTCTATTCTTAAGATTAAGGAAGGACGGCCATACAGACAGACAACAGTGAGAATTTATAGGCCTATAATTTTTTTTTCAAATTACAGCCCACTGACTGAGCATATGTTTGATAAAAATTTGAAATTTTATTCCTTTGAAACACTAATTACATGACAAAATATTACGATTCATGAACTTCCTGGAAAAAAGTTGATAAAAACTTTTGTTTGATTTCAACTACAATTAGATTATATACAACCATTTACAGTTTCATGCTGCTTTGTAATGAATAGATCCATTTTGTACTGTGATTAGATTTATAGATTGGTACAAAGACTAATATAAAGTTAATAATTTTTAGATGAGAATTCAATTCATGGTAGCATAAGATTTTAATGTATGGTATGCTAAAATAACAGTTTTAAATGAGAACAATATATATTGGAAACAAGTTTATTCAATTAACATGTTAATAATAAATAATATTATGCCTGTAATATTATAAATAAAACATCAATTGATATAATGATAACAGTGATAGACATAATTTTCAACATTGAATACTGTGTTTGTTTTTTTTTAACTCTTTCTGGCCTGTAGGTACTAAAACAACGTTTAAATCATTCTGGTTAAGAGTTCAGCTAAACCACAGTCGGTGACCAGGTGATAAGAGAAAGGTCTGATATATCCAGGACAGCAGCCTGGGTAAAAATTTCCAAGCTTTTTTACTAGTTGGATTTAATAGACAAGCCAGGATTTACAACAGATTAAATTGATATTAAAGCACATTATTTTATTTTAAACTGAAAAAATTCATAATGATAAAGCTAAATATGCATTAAAAGCATTTTTTAATTTACAAAGCATTGTTATTTCTAATGGAGTACACATAAATAACCACTTTATTGTATAATTAAAATATCCAACTCATATTATTGTTTCATTTTCCTAACTTTTANGATAAAGCTAAATATGCATTAAAAGCATTTTTTAATTTACAAAGCATTGTTATTTCTAATGGAGTACACATAAATAACCACTTTATTGTATAATTAAAATATCCAACTCATATTATTGTTTCATTTTCCTAACTTTTATAGAAACAATTTCTCTGCTAAATTTTTAAAACATTTATTTAATTGTAATAAAAATAAATAGAAAATAGATTATTGTAAATTATAGATTTTTATCATTGAAAGTATCAAATATTTACAAAAGAAATAACTATGAACAAGCATGTTTTGGTAGTTTTTGGGTAGCACGCATGCTTTTTTATTATTTAATCCCTATTGTAACAGCATTACAGTCTGTTGCTATTCTTATAGGAATTAAGATTTTTTGCTTGGTTAGCTGCACTGTATAAATCTTATTTTACTTTTAATTTTGCTATATTAATATAGAAAGCAAAAAATATAAACATTACAACTATTTTACTTTTTTTTTTTTTTATTTTGACTAAGGTGGTGATGATAATTTTCCTATAGAGGCAATATTACATTACATATGATCATAAGATGCATAATTTGATGTAATGTGATATTACCATGTTATATATAATTAAAATGCAATACATAACATTTCTTAAAGTGAAAATTATTTGATAATTTTCAAGTATGTTTTTATATAAAATGTACAATATATTCCATATAGAATATAGCAACAGTAAGTATTTTCTGATATATTAACTAATTTTAATAATAATTTTTGGTTAAGTATACTTACCAATACAGTTTCTGTGTTCATTTTCTAATTTTCTTCTTGCCTGTTTTTCTACTTCCAGTTCCAATTTTAATTCCTCAAATTGTTTTTCTGATCTACTCAATTCTTGTTGAAGTTTCTGAATTTCTGCTGTTAGAACAGCTGCAATATTCACCTAAAACAAAAAATTCTTTCAGTTTTTAATATTGCTTATACAAATTTTAATCTTCTTCATAGATAATTTATAATAGACTTGATTAACTAACTTCATTGAGAAGTTTCTGAGTTTGTATTTCTCTTTCTTCTGGTGGAATTTTTAACCTGGATTGTTTAGGAGATATGTCTTGATGATCCTATACAAAAAAACAAATTTGCATAATTAATAATTGTTTTTTATATAAATGTTTTAAAATATCTTTCTACCCTTACCTCTTCATTGCAATTAATATAACGTCTGTTCAATTTGCTGATATCATTATATCTAATCATTGATATTGATGTTGCTTGGTTCTCCACAAGTTGCATAGATGATTAATGTAACTTTTTAGATTTAATTATCTTCAATTTATGTAAAAAAAAAATTAGTTTTTAATGTTTAAACTTTAGAAAATAATGAAAAAAATTCTATTACTTCATAAAATTTTAATTTATAATTAATTTAAAGAATTTTAAAATGTAAAAGTAAATAAAAGCAGAATTTAAACATTTTAAATAAACTTTTTATATAAAAATATCTTGTGTAAAGAAACAAAATTTGATATATTTTATTCAAAAATTAAATAAAACTCGCTTAGATCATTTCTATTAAAAAAAATATCTAAATATTAATTAANATTTTACTTTTTTTTTTTTTTATTTTGACTAAGGTGGTGATGATAATTTTCCTATAGAGGCAATATTACATTACATATGATCATAAGATGCATAATTTGATGTAATGTGATATTACCATGTTATATATAATTAAAATGCAATACATAACATTTCTTAAAGTGAAAATTATTTGATAATTTTCAAGTATGTTTTTATATAAAATGTACAATATATTCCATATAGAATATAACAACAGTAAGTATTTTCTGATATATTAACTAATTTTAATAATAATTTTTGGTTAAGTATACTTACCAATACAGTTTCTGTGTTCATTTTCTAATTTTCTTCTTGCCTGTTTTTCTACTTCCAGTTCCAATTTTAATTCCTCAAATTGTTTTTCTGATCTACTCAATTCTTGTTGAAGTTTCTGAATTTCTGCTGTTAGAACAGCTGCAATATTCACCTAAAACAAAAAATTCTTTCAGTTTTTAATATTGCTTATACAAATTTTAATCTTCTTCATAGATAATTTATAATAGACTTGATTAACTAACTTCATTGAGAAGTTTCTGAGTTTGTATTTCTCTTTCTTCTGGTGGAATTTTTAACCTGGATTGTTTAGGAGATATGTCTTGATGATCCTATACAAAAAAACAAATTTGCATAATTAATAATTGTTTTTTATATAAATGTTTTAAAATATCTTTCTACCCTTACCTCTTCATTGCAATTAATATAACGTCTGTTCAATTTGCTGATATCATTATATCTAATCATTGATATTGATGTTGCTTGGTTCTCCACAAGTTGCATAGATGATTAATGTAACTTTTTAGATTTAATTATCTTCAATTTATGTAAAAAAAAAATTAGTTTTTAATGTTTAAACTTTAGAAAATAATGAAAAAAATTCTATTACTTCATAAAATTTTAATTTATAATTAATTTAAAGAATTTTAAAATGTAAAAGTAAATAAAAGCAGAATTTAAACATTTTAAATAAACTTTTTATATAAAAATATCTTGTGTAAAGAAACAAAATTTGATATATTTTATTCAAAAATTAAATAAAACTCGCTTAGATCATTTCTATTAAAAAAAATATCTAAATATTAATTAAGTGAAATTTGATATTTTTTAGTATTAAATATGATTTAAAAGTTTAAAATAAATTAAATTTTATAAAGTAAAACGGTGCGCGTTATACAATAAAGCGCGTTAAAAATATTAAAAAATATATAATTAATTTTTGATTTCTTCCCTTTAATATATTAAATAATTTTCAAATAAAATTATAATATTAAATTTTCAAAATATTATTTTAAAATCGCTTTAAAAAAAAATGAAATCGAACAAAATGTGTTTTAACAATAGAAAACATCCGGTGGTAACGCGACGACAAACCGGAAGTTTGAAGTTTAAAGAGGGGGGAAGTATATTTGGAAAAGGTGCAATCACGTGATCGTAAGCGTTGGAAATGACGTAAGCTAGAGAGTTAGTGCGTTATTTAAATATATATATCTTACCTGGATTGTTAAAGTTTTTGCTATTTTCTTTGCAAAAGCTAAACGAAGACTGCAGAATGTGCAGTTGTTGATCGATGTGACGTCATGGCGATGCAGCATAGTCTCGCTTTATGATTGGTTGGTAGACAAGGTTGACTGCAGTAACTGCAGGAAGGGCAGAAAGAGCACTGCATTTCTTATTCTCGTCTTTACCATTCTTTAAAGTTTTTTCTTAAATTTTACATTAAAGATCGTATAGAAAATTTCTATCTGATGGGTTTCCATCAAGGAAGTCATGTTGGTCATTTATCTAATTCCTTTNCTAAAATTTTATTGGTATTTTTTTATCCGCTCAATTCATGCGCCAATCCTTTTCTTTACGCCATCCTCACGAAGCAGTACCGTCGCGACTTCTTCATTTTGCTCAGTCGTTATGGTCTCTGCACCAAACGTGCCATGAGGTACAAGGGGACCTACACGTGCAATCGTGGAATCAGAACAGGTACCTTGTGCCTCCAAAGAGGTAGAGGCGATCGAAAGTGCAGAGGAGATGACGGTCCTGTTTATGATGATGGCACAAGAAGTGTTTCATCTACAATCGATATGCTCCCAGAAATTGACGGATCCTCCTGCGAAGTAGTACGTTTAGGATCCGTAAGAAAACCAGGAGATAATTGCCGTCAGTTAAGTGTTGTCAGTGAAGATAGCGCACCTTCATCAGAAGAGGAAAGCAGCAGTCCTCTTCATAAAGGTTCTCCCCATCCCATAAAAAATAGTTGCACCAAATTGAATGTCCATAGTCTGGAACAAGAGGAAATACTGAAACGTGTATTAGGAGAGTGTGACCAAAAGAAATATTTCACAAGCAATGAAGTAATCATCACTAATAGAATTTTGCCTTTAGAAAATGGATGTTTTATCCCTAGTAGAGATTCTTCAGAGACTAAAATTTAAACTACTCTTGAATTTAGTTTCATACAGTCTTCTTTCTGTGTTTGTAAATGAATATTTAAATTATAAATACATTTAAGTAGATTAATTTATCTTTCTGCGATTTATACAAAGTTAATAGAATATGACATTTGTTTTACTTCAAAAAACCTTATTCTTTAGATTCTAACAAATTTGGAATCTAATTGTCATGTCATTCGTTTAGTTAATCATTTAAAATTTATAATGTCGACATTGTTTTAAATATTAATAAAAATATTTTCTAAAATAGATATGGAAAACACACGATATGGGTATAACCACGATGAATATGGAGGATCTTTTATCTATATCCACGGGTTCGTTCAGATCCACAAATGAGGCATCCAGATAGTGAAAAACTTGTGCTAACATACTGAGAGGGTTTGGCTTGATGGGATACAGCCAAGCAATAATTAGATCTTCAGGAAGATTTTCTGCGGGACACGCGAAGAAAACTTCGCGTAGCCAGCCAGTTGGTGAGGAGTAAATCCACGACCTTTCAGTAGTTTTATCTACTCGGTCTCTGGTGGGCCAGAGATGGTCCGTCCACGAAAAAGTATCGATTGCCGGGATTCGATCCCGGGTTCCCCAGAGCAATAGAGTGAGGTGTTAAATGCCTCGGCCATCCAGTATCTGTTAACTGTTAAATTTCTATATTAATCTATGTGAATCGATGAATCAAAAGGAGTTATGTAATTAAATCAAAAATAGCTTTAATATTTATTTTATTAGCACGTTTTTACAAAGAACACTTATTAAAAGATTACAAAGTCGTTTTTAAGCTATCGAATGACTTTTTAAGAGGAGTCTGCTTAACTTCAAAGAGTTCCTTGATTTCCTGTACTCTGTCTACGTGAAAAATCACCTCAACTCGTATTTATGTACATTCCAAAGACAATGAAGGTGAAAGTATTTCAATTATATACTAATAAGAATCTCTATTAACAGTCTCTATTAACAGTCATTTCCAGAAAGCTTTGAACTGTGCTGTATACGTGTGTGTAGGCTCGATGTATATACACGTACTGTACATTATAATAAATAGATTTCTGTATAATATAATATTAATAATAAACATGAATAAAATTTTCAATTATACGTGCAAAAAGAGAGAAAACGGAAGAATAACATTGTAGTCTCCATAATATAAAAATGAAAGTATTTTGACAATATTGTTTAATGATAACCATTTCCTTTTTTTTAATAGGATAATATTATTAAAAAATACGATAAGTTTATTTTTATATCATAAATTTATTTAACTTACAAACAAAGTATCTGTTTTCTTCTCACAGTAAACTGTCATGGCGTCTGATACAGGTAAGGAACAATTGTTTTTTCTTGTTACAATTTAAAATAAAGCTGGCGTAAGTATAAATTTTAAATTAAATTGATTTATTTTTCTTTTAAATTGACGTTATCAGACTATATACATGAAAAAAATATTGCATTTAGTGGCATTTATTTATTTATTTATCGCACTGAAGTACGCACTGTTAGAGGCCGAAACCATTACAAAAAGAGTATTTTGAAAGATAAATATACAATGAAGACAGACAGAATTAGAAGAAGAAAGCAAATGTCAATCTCCCATCCAACTTTGGTCAAACGAAGAACGTCGCCAGTATAATAATAAACTCTTTCTAATTTTACATTTTCGAACGGCTCTACCGAAAAAATATTTCGAATGCCAGAAATACTGATCAATTATTTAAATTTTCTAATACGTAACAATTTATAATTTAATTTTTAAAAACTCAAAAGATCAAGAATACACCAGAAAATCTTAAAAAGAAAAGGAAAAAAAAAAAATCGAAATTTACTTCATGGCACAAACAGGAAATCTTTATTTCCTTAGAACGGAATTAAAAAACATCTGCCAGATTTTTCTCTTTAACTCGTTTCCTTTTTATTTATCAATTAAATACACTTACAAAAATTTATCATTTTATCAGCCAGAAAAAGCTCTACAGTAACGATTACAATTTGTAAAAATCACCTACAGACGGACAAAGCCATTACCTTAACGTTTTTTTTTTTTTACAACGAATTTATAAAACATTACAGTTATAACTCATATTTTTTAAAACCCAGAACGAGTTATTTTCGGTATGTTTTTCACATATCAATCATTAACCTCCATCACTCATATTCAGGGACAAAACATGAAGATTATTCATCAACAAAGCTGACAATACGTTCCAGATGGCAAATTCCGAAACATTTAACGACAATTTGTCTTTGTATTTCTTCTTCTATTTATTTTATTTAAGTATTTTCCCATCTTTTTTTTTTTTTTTTACTAAAATTATCTCCTATTCTCGTTATTATTTAATTGTTATTTTACTATAAAAATTCAAGCGAATCTTTCCACTTGTAAAGATTAAAAAAAAAGAGTTTTAATTATTATTTTAAAATATTTTAATTCTTAAAAAGCGTAATTTAATATCCATAATAAAAATATTTCAACTTAAACGAATGCAATTTTAAATATTTTACGACGTTCTCCAGTATTTCTTAACAGGATTTTTCTTGAGTGGTTAGAAAATTCGAGATGAGAAAAAATCTAATTATTCTGTGTAAAATTAGATAAAACACTTTTAAAAATAAATAAATATATATATATATTTTAAAATCCAGAAAAAATATTTTAAATTAATTCTTTAATCTATGTAGATAATCTCAAAATATTGTTTATTTATTCTACCTTTAGTACATTAAAAGTACACTAATAATTCAGTTGTTTGGAGGGTTCGGCTACCATTAATGTATAATATATAGTATTTAATGTACTGTTATAATGTAGTGTTATCATCTAACAGGAAGAAGATAAAAAGGACGTCTAAAATAAAATAAAATAAAATAAAATAAAAGATAGCGAGAGTTGCAGGATAAGAACCGGCAAAGGATGATGATGATGATGATGATACATTATATCATGGCCTGATTTACAGTTTATAGCCTCGAATTATAAATCTACAGATTAAGGCCTCACATTTTAACATATATCATCATTTATTAGAAGGGAAGGGCCTCCTATATGTTACGGCTTAAGGACACGACAGTCTAAATCCGGCCACGTGTTAGTATGTAATATATTATGTGAAGTGCCTAAAAATTTTGGATATTTGTAAAAAATTGATTAATGCATAAATTTTCAAAAATTTCCTTATTAAAGAGCAAATAAAATACTCGATTTTACACAATAATGTGGCTGAGAAGCCTTCAAAAAGTATTGGAACCTCCAATATGTTGAAGCAGAAACGAAAATACCAGTTTTTTTGGATGGTTTATATAATAAAGTTTATCATAAATAAACTGCATTATATTTCCTGCTCATTTGCTGCGACGTTTCCTTTAAATATTCTAAAAAAACGTTTATAAAGATATATATTTTAAAATACAATTGATAAATTCAAAGCTTAGATAAAGGCAAAGATGAATTCAAGTTTTAAATAAAGGAATTTTACAGAAGAAATATTAACAAATTCAAAAATTGTTTGCTCTACTATTAACATAATTTAAGTAAATATTTTCTTAATAATTTAACAAGTTAAATTAAAAGTTTCGAATATTTTATCAAAAGTGAAAGAATGTAGCACGGAATTTAACATTTAGAATCGTTATCCCTCAATTCTGAATAGTAACAACGCATATATAAGTCCGGATATGTCGGGCCTCATCTCTCGCCATTGTAAGCTTGGCTCAATCCACGATGAGTATGAAAAAAGGCCCTCTTAGTGGCCGTAAGAAAAAAAGATACCACAGAAAATTATTAAAAGAACAACAAGATTAACTGGATTAATGAAAGAAGACTTGATGTGTTAAGGAGTGCCTCCTGGGAGGACTTTTTATGAGAAACTTGCCCATATTTGGGTGTTAAAACTATGAGAAACTTGCCCATATTTGGGTGTTAAAACTATGAGAAACTTGCTCCTATTTAGGTGTTAAAACTATGAGAAATTGGGCCGTTTAGTTTTAAACGGTATTACATTCACTTTTACATATAAACTGATCAATATTTATATTAAAAAAACCTTTAAATTTACAATTTTCGTGTGTTGAAAGATAGTTTTTCATAGAAAATAATAAATATTTACCTTAATATGCGCGTGTTTTTTTACATATTTACAAAATTGTATGACTATGTTTATAATAGAATGTTCCATTCTCTATCACTCTCACTTTTTTTTTTAAATTCTTGCCAAGAATTTGGTCTTATTTGCTTATAATAGATTGATTCAAGGACTTGCTAATTTTAACAGGAGAAAGATGATATCATTTTCTTACCATAGCCTGTCACTCTTCCCATACATTAAACAGAGGAAATAGAAGAGCAACAACTTTCATAATTTTTTTTTTTTTTTCTAAATTTTTAAAAATATCAAATTACACATAAATAATTTTACATTTTTATCAGATAAAAATAAATTATAAATATTGAACAGGGCGGAGTTGCCCTATAAATAAACAATTTTACATAATTCAACACCAGTTTGTCGGAACGAAGTACCTTAAAAATTATTAATGGATATTAATTTTTACTCTTCATAAAAAATGTATAATAATGTTTTAATTGAATAACACAATTAATTTCTGTAATTAGAATTAATTCTATTAAAATCTTTACAGTTTAAATATAATTAAGAGACGGAAGAATATGAAGAAGGGAGGGTTAATGTCGCTATTTTTTTTTAAATTAAATTAATTAATTAATTGTAAAAAAAAGAAAATTACAACCGTCTTATATATTTATATACATTATTTTTATCTATTTTGCTAATTTTACTTATTAATTTTGATAAAAATAAACAAACTCCTCCCAAAATTAATTTATACAAAAAGACATAATTAAATATAAATTATAAAACAGTGCTTATACGAAATTATATGTAATAAATTGGATAAAAATACGCCTCTACAACCGAAATTTTACATTAAAAGTAAATAAAATAACAAAAAAATGTACATATTTTACATTAATTTGAAGCATTTTCATGTTATATTGACATTATCTTACAGTACATACAGGACTTTTAAGGATTTAAGGAGTAAAATAGGTTTTATTCGATGATTAAAGGATGGATAAGTGTTTTTATTCTACATTCAATCATTTTTTTCTTATTTCAGAAACGTAATCTTTCATATATTTATGTATAAATCCGGTGGTTATACGAATATCTTCATAAATATATGAATTTATATACATCAGACAACATTCTGATAGGATAAAATTTAAGTTTTTTGAAAGGAATTCGCTCAAAAAAACCGTTAATAATGACAGAAATTTTATATTTTATACATAAAAAAAAGTCGAAAATTTAAGAAATTTTTACTATGTAAGCTATAAAATATAAATGTTTTTTAAAGTGGATTTAATGGTTGATATATTATTTTAGAAGAGCAAATTTTTAATGATTTTTAAAGCAAGATAACTCAATTTCTTCAACTAGAAACAAAACTGATTTATGCAAAATTAAAACAAATGAATTTAAACCTTTTAAATATTAATGTTAAATATTCTTTTGCTACTACTTAATTTATACCTCTGGTAAGGAAAAATTCGTTATTAAATCATGTAAAAATTCCATTTTCAGCTAAAAGAATCGATATTTTTATTTAAAAAAATCGGAGAGAGAACATTAATTTTTAATTTTCTTCGTATTTATTACTCCTGTACGCCTTTTTTTTAGATGTTTGAAGAGATTATAAGAGGTGTAAGTTTACAAGAAAAATTCAGTTGCATCCGGTATAATTTCCAATTGTCACTGTATAAAAATAACTTTTAAAATGACTTTTTAAGGTTTATAAATGATTTAAAATGATAAAATGATTTCTTTATTATTATTATTTTTTAAAATAATCTAATTTAAATCGATTTTTCTGCGTTAAGAAGTGATACTTCTATGCTGAAAGTTACATCTGCGAATTCTAATTTATATAAATGCTTACTCTACGGTAGTATATCCAATTACTACTTGAATTCTCAATTATTAAACTAGAATTTAATTTTTTTATCCACTCTCTTCGACCAAAATTACCCTATTTACATTTTCCAGTTTTCTAGTGAAACTATCGAAGAGAATTCTAAATTTTTCTTTGTAAATATAAAGAAAAAAAAAAAAACACTAAAAATTAACGAATATTTTAAATAATATTCGGATAATTAACAATAAATCGAGTTTTAATCGGAGATGAAACTTTAATTCAAAACTCCCCTATCTAGACACGTGCTCTAGTATATGGAGAAGTGGATAATAGAGAAAACAACCGAATTTCTTAAAAGTATTTAGCAATAAATTCGATAAGAAGAAAGAGTACTCGAGATAATTTGTTAATAAAACATGGCAACACTTTAAAAAAAAAAAGAAAGAAAGAAAACTAACCGCTACTTCACTTATATTTACAAGATTTGTTTATGTTACGACAATTTATCTTCTACGGGAGCGGCTGCTAAATTTATAACTAAGGTAGAACGAACGAAAAACTTCTCACCAGTGCCACTTGTGTCGCCACCGTCGACTTGTTACTAAAACTGTAGAAGGAACAAGCCGGCGACCAGTTGCTACCGATGTCTTCAGGTAATACGAGTTGTAATGCTTCAGTGCCATGTCGAACGTTTCAATGTAACCTCTACCAAACTCTTGTATCGTGTCTGAAGAAAAAAATGGGCAACGGTGCTACAACTGCAACTAAAAACAGTAACGCTCCTTCAGGTGATGCTGAAGATTTTAGGAGACGACAGGAGCAGAGTAAAGATATGCCCAACGATTTAAACGAAGCTCGAAGAACAATAGAGCATCAGGCTAGAGAAATTTTACGTCTGACTCAAGAAATTCATAAGTTAAAGGCTAGTTTAATCACTATTTTTTTTTAACTCTTACTTTTAAAACTTTTGTCAAGTTTCCAGCGCTCGATTTGCTTTCTAATTTAAATTTACGACGTGAAGTTAGCTTAATTATGCTTTTATTTTAGTTTTATTTTCACTAAAATGTAGCAAAATTATAGTTTAAATTTTGTTTATATTATCTTAAAATTGATTTGTTTACAGTTTTTAAATATGGAAATTAATTATAGAGTTTTTTGTGTATATTTTTAAGAGAAATGATTCTTATTAGTGACGGTTTCTACAACGAGTCATTCTTTAAACATCATTAAAAGTTTATTTTTGTGTCTTTTCTCATAATTGGTTATTTAATTATATTTATTTTTTGGGTTCGTAAATTAATTTATGTTAAAATTTTTCTAAAAATATTAAACTGCGATTAATTTACGATTATTTTAAAAGAAAAATATGCTTTCAGACAGCTAAATTTAGCAATTATTCCTGAAACTGATAAAGATAACAAGTAAAAATGAATAAGGTAACCTTTTATTAAGCACACTTTGTAAGGAAAGTAGTAAAAAATGTTAATTTTAGTGTAAAAAATACCAAAAATATCATTAATATACATACTTAAATGAGTGTAAATTAAGAAAAAAAAAAAGTCTTCATTTAGGTACGAAACAATTGCATAAATCGAAATCTATGCAAAAGAAAGAGTGCTGAATGGCATTTTAATAGCGAATTAAACTCAATTTCTTGGTAAACATTAATTTAGACGAATATTAGATACTCTGAATACAAACTAGAGCGAAACACGGAAGTTGCAAAGTGGGTTAACGTCACAATAACGCCTTGGGTAGCCTTCCTTGCATGGCAAATCAATCGACAGGTGAAGACTACTTTACAGGGTAATGCACTTCAAATTCTTCATCTCCGATGCCGTTTACACCATTCAGAATATGAAATAAACTTTTTGATTCGGACGTTAAGTAAAAATTAATAGCATAAATCAATCCCGATATAGTTAAAATATATTTTAAATTATGCAAATTTATATATTATCGTTGTAATGGATAGAACCTCTCTTTCTAAACCAACTCAATGCTTTTTAGATTTAAAAATTCATTAATAAATAAAGTTTAAAAACAAATAAATTCGTAATAAACGTAAATAATTTAAACTACAAAAAAATTAATGCTTTAGACGTTTTTCTACTGCATTATAAACTCTTCTTTTATGTATAAAAATTAAATTCAAAGAAGAAATTTCGATTTATCGAAAGAAAGGACATAAAATAATTCAAAGGAATTTTATTAAATCGATAAAATTTCCGTTAAAGGATATATTTAAAGTTAAGAATAAAGAATATATTTCGAAACAGGTGTGCATTCTCAAACTACAAGAGATTTTGACATTTCAGAAACAAAGAAGATAACATCTTATTCAGACATCATCACGTATTTTCACCTTCAAAAAAATGGGGAAAAATTGATGCTGAACGTCCTAAAACTGGAAAAAATATTAGCTAAAAAGTAAAATAGTCTGTAAATTAGCATATCAGCATGAAAATGTGCATCTTCCCTTCTCTCTTTTTTACTTTGATAATGCATTCGAATGGAATTTATCAATTAAAAACCTACTGAATGTAGAAATCGGAAGAATTCTTTACACAACGAATAGAATAAAAGGTATTGAGATTTTTCATACATTCGTAATCAGGAATTGGCGACGAAAATTTAAAAAAAAATCGATAATTAAGTAAGAAAAGTTATAAAAATCCCTTAAATATACTCGAATTTTCATTTAAATTAAATCTTCACGTGCTTTTTAAGTAAGTTTCCAAGTGAAGAAAAAAAAAGAAATTCAAAAGTTAATTACTACTTCATCAATACACTTAAAACACATTTTGTTGGATTAATTAGCTAAATGGAAGAGAGAAAACACAGACGAAGCAATCTTCAGATGAATGACTCGTTTACTTATCATCAATAAAGAAGCGTTGGAACGATGCTAAAACTTCTCTTATAATTATAATACCATTGTTTAGTGATGAGAAATTTTTCTTAAAATTGTACAGGAATCAAATATTTAACTTGTCTTGTTTATCCTTAAGGAAACAGAACGTTTTATCTTAAATATAGATTAATTTAAAGTTCTGTTCTATGCATAGGAGAAGCGGATATACGTGATACTGATCTTGATAAATATAATGACGAATAACACCTTCGGCGCATCTGTTCTCTGTAAACTTTATTAACACTCGAGATTTATAAGATGTTTCATAATTTATGCTGATGATAATAATTGAATTTCTCTTATCTGGTCAATTTTATTAAGTTTATCCTCAATTTACTTATATCAACGGTTTGTAGTTGGGTGATGCTTAAGTGGATATAAACACTAGAAGTTTATTAATTGTAGTTTTTTTAATACTTTTTAATCACTAGATATGATTTATATCGAGGAAAAATCGATTAACAAAAGAATAATCGATTTATAAGCTTATAAAAACGATGTTTTAAACAGTAAAATTAGCTATTTATGTGTTTATATTTCTTTAAAATGTCTTAATATTATAATCTGAGCGACATGTAACGAGTTTAGAGAAAAAAAATAATCATTTCGAAGTTAAAAAGTAAGATTTAGATGACTTCAAGCATGGAAATATTACATTTAATTAATATTAAAATATTTATTTTTATTAAAATTTATGAATGTTTATTGATTTAGATGAAATAAAATCGATGCTAAAGTTAGAAAAAAAAACACTGTTTTTAAGCCTTTAAAGATGTAAAAATTGTAAATAAATGTTAAGAAAATGAATCGATTCAATTGAAATTGCTATTTAAATGATTATTTCATAAATAGGTGAATTTTTAAACCGATTTTTCTACATAAACATGTAAATTTGGTCAATAAAAGTATTGTTTTTAGTCGATAAATGTCACTAAAAGTGTAAATTTTAACAATAAAAGAAAGGTCTGAACAATTTATTGTTAAGAACTAAGAAAATTATAACGGTAATAATGCATTTAAAGTGAGTAGAGGATGCTGTTTCAGCTGAAAAAAAACGTGATAATTTAAGAGAATTTTTTTAATAAGGTAAATTAGAAATGACGTTATCCAAAGAGTTTTAATAAGTTTAACAATAAATTCAATAGTACGAATAGGAAAGAAAGGATTTCTTGTTAGGAAAATAGGTCATAGATCAAGATTCTATTCAGAAACAGGAAAAAAGGAAGAGAGCGAGTGATTTAGCACTAGCTATAATCAATGAACTTTGATACGTACTGTACCTCCGACAAGTGGATGATTGTTAGCGATCAGTTCTCATCTCGGTTTAAGAGCTTTTATAAGCGGGTTAATTAGGTTTGTAAGGTTTTAGGTTTATATTTACGTTTCCTACTTGTTTATTTTACACGAGAACTTAGCGTAAGTTTGTTTGTATGACAGAAAAAAAAAGACGGTTTAAATCATTAGACTAATGAATTCTATACAAACTCTATGCGGAGAAAATGCCGAAATTTAAGCTAAATATGAGAATTGGGGTATTTTTATATTTGGCTGAAAAATGCCCAATTATATAGGCAGTTTTAGCCCACATAATCGCTAAAAATGTGGGCTGAATTGAGCAATACATCATTAAACACAGACTGAATATAGAAACATTTTATCTTACAATTAAATAAAGCATAAGAAATTTCTTAAATTTCTCACTCTTTTTTTCTAAAAAATCTGAGCCAGGATCACGTTGAAATTATGAGAAAACTTGTTAATTTATAAAAAAATTAAACATTATTTTATAGTTTAAAACAATAAAAACTGCACTAAAATTAAAATAATTTATATTCTAAACTAAAATATTGCATGATTATTCATTTATAAAATATTCAGCTTATATATTTGAAAAGATGACCATCATAGACGAATTATTCGCATAATAATTAATTAAATCCAACAATTAATTGTATAATAGCTGTTATATATTCTGCTTTGATCCTCTTATAGATTTAGGTAGGTCATTTGGATAATTTTAAGCAGATTTAATGAAGATATATGACCGATAAGGCACAAATCAATGAAGGAAAAGAATGAGATTCATCGAAAATCTTTAAATTCTAACAATTTTATTACAATTAATAACAGATATTTTACCAGTAAATGATATTTTATTGTAATTAATTACAATTAATAATTGTAACAACAATTAATATCGATTTCATAGAGTAATTGCTACACGATTAATCGATTCAAATCCAATTATTTGAAAGATTAAATGAAGCGTTAGAATATAAAAAAATAGAATTTTGTTTGATTTAATGTGATCGATGGTAAACTATCAATAAATTTAATGTAGAAAATTAACATGTTAATTAAATTAATTAATTTTAAACGCATATAAATTTCATATTTTTACTCCATTAATTAAGAATGTTAATGCTGTTTAATCAATCACATTTATAAATTAGTGCGAATGAGAGTAAATAAAATTCCTCCTTTTTATGATTTTAGATAAATTTATTCGTTATATTCTTATTTTTTAAATGTATAAATCATGTAAATAGATAATTAAAATGATTTTAAATCGTCGTAACAATCATAAATGAAGATGTTAAGCAAATTTCTACAAAATAGCTGCAGGAGTTGTAGCTGTTAAAAGGATTAAGAATTGATAGCTGTTGATAGGAGTAGGAATTGGCTGCAGGAGTTGGTAGAAGTAAAAGTACTGCACAGAATACATGTTAAGTTATAAGTTAATAAAATTAATAAACTGTTTTCATTGATTTGAAAGGTTCTTCATAACTAAACTTTATAATGTTTAAACTTTTATTAGATTTCCTGTTGAAAAGTCATGTCAAGCAATATTGAATTATGTTACTAAAATTACTGTATTTCTAGAGATTCATAGCTTAAATAATTGTATAGGCCTAAATTTATATTTAAAAAAAAAATTCAATTATATAAATTATACAAAAATACAAATAAATTACTTATATTTTAAAATTAAAACTAATTTTAAATTG